ACCCCGACGGCTTCGAGCGCGCCCGCGAGGGCGACTGCGGCGGCGGCGCGGCGGGCGGCCGCGAGAACAGCCGCGGCCGCGACCTCAACCGCAGCTTCCCGGACCAGTTCGGCGCGGCGCAGCCCGACCTGGGCGCCGTGCCCGAGGTGCGCGCGCTCATCGCCTGGATGCAGCGCAACAAGTGAGTGCGGCCCCCTCGCCGCCCCGCAGGCCTCGCCTGCCCTTTTCCCAGCGCTTCCTGGCCGGCCTGGTGTGGGAAGAGCCCCTTTCTCCCATCTTCTTCATCCCTGCTCTGCTCGGGTCCCTCTGGGCCGCTCTTTGCGCTGGTTGGTGTGACGTGGATGAGCAGCACCTCCCTGCACGGGCCTGGGTGCTCCTTGTCTCCCGAGCTGCTTTTGGGCCTCCCTTCCCTGGGAGTCTCTGGCTGCAGACTTGGTGCCCTCCCTTGTCTGCTTCATGTGTGGACCTCTTAGGACCCGTAGCGCTTTCACCATGAGCTGTCAGGTGGTTAAAATGGGAGTTTAGCCTCTGACCGACGTGTCAGCAGAGGCCTGTCAAGAGTCGCACAGAGCAGGGCTTTTTCCCCCTCCCCATCTTTGTGTTGCATGTCAAATTCCCTGGATTTAGCAACACTGCTCTCAGCAGCAGCATTTCCAAATCATGGAATCTATGGAAAAAACCTTTGAGATCATTGAGTCCAACTGTGAGACTGGCAAGGGGCTGAAGACAAGTCCTGCTCCTGCAGCCCCCCGGCCTGCTGTGTGAACGTGTCCAGGCTGAGCCTGCAGAGCCCATTTTTGTCTTCGGCTAACCAGGGAAGGGGGGAAATGGTGGCAGTCCATGATGGAGCAGAATAGCCCAGGAGGGGAGACAGTTGCCCACAAAGTGCAGTTCTGGCTTGCAGCCCTGCAGTGCAACCAGAGCAAATCCAGAAGAGACCGTTTCTGTATCTGCCTTCTTCCTTAGAGAAAACATAGAACATCCAAAGCACAAAGGCAGGTGTAAAACAGGCAGAATGCAGGCTCTGCTCAGGTGTGAGCAGTGCACTGAAACAGAATGTCCCCAAAACAGGGGAGAAAGAAACTGATGGGATGACTGACCCAGGTGGGCTGTGGGGCTCTGGGCTGAATCTAAGCAATACACAAGCTCACAGCATGTAATGCCTGCTCTGTCTGAGCGGACAAAGTTTGAGGAATTACCTGTATTAAAACTTCGTGGGTCGTGCTGCCCAGAGGGCTGATTGCTCTAGAAGACCTGCACAGGCTGCACCAGTGGTTTGTGTCTTCTAAAAACTCCTCTAGAGCAGCCCGGAGACAGCAGTTTGTGGTATGGATCCCATAGATTTGGTCAAACTCAAAATCGGTTAAGGAAAATCACGCATGTTCTTATTGTTATTTTGAAAGCACATTGCTTTTTTTAGCAAACGTTTGAGGTGGGATTTCTTTTTGTGAGCCAGGCTGAAGCAGGAAGAATATGGTGCTTTGTGCATCCCTCTGCCTGGCAGCACCACTTAATGCTGTTATAATTGTTGTACTAATGTAATCACTGGTACAAAAATGAATGGGTAAACAGAGCTGTTTGCTCTCAGAATTGCTAGTGGGCATAACACACCTCCTGTGCTGTATTTCAGATAAGGCAAAGGTATCAGTCACGTTAGGTCTGCCTAGGATCTAAATCACATTTGACTGAAGGAGAAGTAATTAAGTTAGTATTTTTTCCTAGTGCTGTATTTGGTGAGAAGAGGAAAAGTAGAGACATTAGTCTTTAAAGATTTATTGGGAAGCTTGTGGCTGCCTGTGATGAAAATCAAGTGTGATAGAGGCATGCTGGGCTGTTGCGTGCTCAAGCTTGGAATTTTAACAGCTCTTTCACTTGTTCAGGTCTTATTTATGCCAGTCAGTCATGCAGTGCAGCTCAAGCATCGCCCAAAGCCTGACCAAGAACTGCGTGTGTTGTTTATGTGCAGGGCACTATTTGTCTGTGATAGAGGTGAAGGGCTCTGTCTTAAACTGAAGCAAGAAACTTGTTTCATGTCCAGTAATGGCAGATGTCAAATTCGGAAGTGAATAAACCAGTCTTGAGAATGGATTTGTTGGAAAAAAAAAAAAAATTGCTTACTTCCACTTGTCCCATTTGGATGCTGTTCTGATCCTCTCACAGTCCCGTTTGCTGTGTTAGGGGCTGGTTTTAATTAGAGGGGATATGTCTCAAAGAGAGTTTATTCTTTTGCCAAATAGAAGCCTGCCCAGTGCAGGATGACGGCCTCTCTGCTCATGTAACCTCGCTGGAGTTATGACTTGACAGTAGTTCTGCCCACATGGTGCTGTCAGGGAATGTCTGATCACTTCCTCTTTTAAAATAATTGTATTGCTGAACAGAATACTATCCTGAGCGGCCACGTTCTGCCTGGCTGATCCCAAATAGGCTTTGGAGGCTGCTGGGAATGCTTTGGGTAGGGAAGTGGTGGAGTAACTGGTTGGGTGGCTGTAACTGGCTGCCTCATGATGTTCTCCTGTTCCAATACGGCTCTTTTCTTTCCCCCTTCCCACTCCAGGTTTCTGCTCTCTGGCAATCTTCATGGTGGCTCAGTGGTTGCAAGCTATCCCTACGATGACTCTCCCACACATAAGCCCACAGGAGTCTACAGTAAATCGGCGGATGATGAAGTTTTCAGATACTTGGCCAAAGCTTATGCATCAAATCATCCTATAATGAAAACTGGCACCCCAAATTGCCCAGGCGAGGAAGGAGAGACTTTCCAAGATGGCATCACAAACGGTGCCCAGTGGTACGATGTGGAAGGTAAGATACACTGCTGAATTTCTCAAGCTCTGTTAGTGTCATGTGCCTTACAGAAATATTTGCTGCTTCCCCCTGAGAAATGACATCTAAAACAATGGTGATAATCACCGTGAAAAAGAGGTGGTAGGTAAAGTTACATTTTTAGCTTTGAATATGTTCTGAGAGCATATGTTTGGGTCTGTAGGGAGCAAATAGATTCCAGCAAACTTGGAGAGTTATCCTGTGTGCAATAGGCTTTATTTGCCAAATGCATTGCTGTAGGTCTCAAGACAGTTACTAAATTTTAATGAAGACACAGGAGGAGGAACTATTGTTAAAGTGTTGGAAATCCAAATATTATTTTGAAGCACCATTATTCTGTACTTTCATTTAGAAAAAAAAAAACTTGTAGTTTTGCTAAAGGGTTTTAAAATAGCCCCCTCTACAACTATGTAAAATGGTTTAAATTCATGGTCGGAACTAACCTAGCTGATCCTTATGGAAGTAGATAGGGAGATTCCTATGAACTAGTGTCCTACTAGCCCTGTACAGAGGATGATAACCAAGCAGGATCTGTTCCTGTCCACCAGTGCAGCTGGATGTAGAAGGGGTCCAAAAATCCAGCTGCCAAGGCCTCTAGGAAATCTCCAATCCTCTCCAGTAGGAAGCTGCATTACAGAGGTGATCTGAATATAAGCAAATGATCTCCTGGTACTGTTCTGCTGACATGGATAGTCTGGCTCAACCACAGTAGAGGACGCTTTCTGTATCTGTTTTGCTTAAAATGGGATTTAAATAACAGTTTTGGTGATGAGTTTTTGTGATGTTGTGTTGGATGCTCATGGAGAGGATTTTATAGGCTAGCAAAAAGAGCAATCTCGGCTTTCTCATTAGAATAAATTACACCATTTGCAAGTCCCCCCAGTGGGTGTTGTACAACCGGGAACTCACCAGACAGTATAGTAACTTCTGCCATGAGGCCAAGACGAGAATCTTGCATAATTGATCCCAGGAAGTTGCGTGTCTGGACTGCTTTGCTCTGCCAGTGCTGAAGAGCAGTGGCAGAAGTGCTGAGCAAACAGTGACATCCAGCATGGTTTATGCTTAATAGCTTAGAGCTCAACAAATCCCCAAAAGATGGTGTCTTTCCAGAACATGGGATTCAGTGTTGAGTCATATATTAACCCTGATTCCACGTATCTCGAAGAGGAGAGCGACCCACTACTGGAACTGAATACGTCACCTCTGTGCCGGAGGAGGAAGTCTTTATTTTAGTGGCGGCTGAATCATTCCTGCGGATTTCTCTGTTCAAACAAGATGTGGTTTTTGCCTTCTTCTGTAGCAGCTGTCCCCTTCCCTCCACCCTCTCGAGCTCACGCATGCTGGGCTCTACCAGCTCAAGGTTCGCTGTTGCTGGGAAAGCCCAGCGCGAGGGAGGTCTCTGTAATCTTGCGAACGTGCTTACGGCTGAACAGGATATCCTGGATGGGCTGTGCTGCCCTGGTGGCAGCTGCTGCTCGCAGTCGTCTGATCAATGGGTTTGTTCCCTGGAGCGCTCAGGTTTTCTGCCCTTTTAGTGAACTGGGGGAGGTTGTGCTTGAGCTTTTGGCTTGCGTCCTCCTGGCATTGCAGCAAGCAGCGTTTTCACTAGGACTTAACATCTTTGACCTCCTGCTGTGCTGTGAAGCACTTAGGCAGCCGGAGCCCTCGATGGGGCAGCTTGCTGGTGACACCTGCACTGACCCCCTTTGGGGCTGCCTTTGTTTTGTGAAGGAGCAGAGCAGAGGTTTGGCTGCTCCTCCTGGCACGGGAGGTGACAAGGTGTGAGCTGAGGAGCGTCCTGCTCTGCACTGCCCTTGGCGTGCTTTAAAATCTGCCCATTAGAGACACTGACTCTCGGGCCCCATGGAAACAACCCCCTTGGCTGTGCCAAGTCACAGGGCCTGGCTCACTGCTGGTGGCTGTGGGGAACTCAGAGGGATTGTAGGGACCTGAAGAAAGAGAATTTGCAGCCTGGCCCTAGATGCCCTGACGGCAGCAGCAGATTGAACCAGCTCTCAAATGCAGTGCTGCTACAGCTTGGCAGACGGAAGCCACGAGTACCTGAACTGTTTGTCCTCTAAGTTGTAACTCACATAGAGTTGCTGCATAAGACATTTCTATGAAGTTACTCTGTCACCCTGGGGTTTTAGGTGTTCATGTATATTAGGGGATGAAGAGCAGAGGAAGGAGAGCCAGTTGTATGCAGTGTGTGACAAAGTGGCAGAAACGCAGCAGGGCTATATTGAGTCATTTGCTCTGTTCAGCGTGGTGCCAAGGACTGCTCAGAGCAGTCCAGCGTGTGCTCCAACCAGCAGCCTCTGCTCAGCGGCTCCAGGATTTAAGTGTGTGGTGGAATGAGGATGGGGAAGTACGAGCACCGCCGGAGGAGCAATCTGGGGGTACCGAGCCCTTGTCCAGAGCACAAGGATCTGTGAAAAGTGCAGGGCATGTGTTTGCAGCCTGCAGAGCAAACCGTGCCAGGAAAGACTGCAGGCTCCCAGGCGCTTAAAGCCAGGAAAAACAAAGAAATGAGAACATAATGTCTCAACAGGTGGGAATTTTCCTGCCACATTTTATCGTGTGAAATCAGACATACTGGAAAGTTAAATGCTGCGGGATTCACTGACCTGGAGTTGCCGGTTTGGGTTTATGGTGGTGCCAGTTCTCATTAGCTTTTTCATTTGCGTTTGCAAACAACCTTTCGCATGTGTCCAACTGAGGTGGCAAGTACAAACCATTGGAGTAATTTTGAAGGTCAAGTGTGTACAGAAATATATGGCGCTCTGCCATGCTGCTGAATTTGGCTTCTGCATTCCAACCACTATAGATAAGCGTGTCTATGGCTGCGGACACGTTTTGAAGCTATCTCTGTGATACACACGCTTACTTTTCCTTCCTTTTTAATCTCTGGGGCTTTTAACTATTGAACGACTGGTTTAGATCAAGAAAATAGCTGGAGGTTTGGGCTGATGCAAGATCCAGCTAATGCTTAAAGCAGTGTGACTCAAGGCAGGCTGAAAAGTCCATGAGATTTAAAGGCAAATTGCCTGGTTCTTATCTCTGGGGTGGTCATGCTTGTCTTCATTCCATAAAGACCCCAATTCAGGAACTGGGGTCAGTATAATATTCAAGAGAGCATTTCATGTCTGCAGCCCCTTCCAAAAAGGTATTTTTCTCACCAAATTAAACCTCACGCCAGCGTTCTCGAGGCGTTTCTGCAGGCCCTTCCGGATGGGATGCGGGCGTGCGGAGCCTGTGCGTGTGCTGCTGGGCTGTGGCTCAGCTGCTGGAGCTGGAGGCTCAGGCTTCATTGCCACTAACGGGCTGCAACTTCTACTGCCAGTGTCTCGGAGCATGAGAGCAGTGTGAGCAATCAGTTCTGTCCACAGAATAAGTGACTCCTACTGTCTGCCTAATCCCATCCTAGCTTGTTTTTGCCACCTGCTCTTTGCAGAGCGGACAGGACCATTTCCGTGCTGCGACTCTGCTGCGAGAGGTCCCTTATCTCCTAATGTCTGCTCCAGTGAGGTTTGCAGTTAGAGAGGTTCCTGCATAATACAGTTTGAAATGAAGATCTTCCAGCCTGGCCTGAAAGGCTGCTTCTGACCTGCAGCGTGTTTAAGGCATGCAGGTCTCTGGGCCTGGGTTTAGGGGGCTGTGTGCTCCCGTATGCGGCAGGGAGCCGGGCAGCAGCAGCCCCACAGCCCTGGTGCTGCGAGAGGCCTGGGCTGATGCCTGGGAGCAGGGCAGAGCCAGGGAGGCCCCTTCTGCCCAGGACGAGCGAGCGTGGAGAAGTGAGGGGGTGGCTGCTGCCCAGGCTCCTGCACCGGGTAACTGGAATGTGGATATTATATCGAGAGCACTTTTGTGACCGGCTGCCAGCTGGTCGGGACTCGCTCGCTGTGCCTGTAAGCTGTTCGTGTTGCTTTGCTTTCCTCACCGGTGAAATGGGCTTGATGATCCCAACTTTGCAAAATGTGGGCTCAGAGACCTTTCCTGATAAAAAGGGCTCTGATGAATGCAGCAGAACACCCCAAATAGCAGCCGGGCAGGTTAGCAGGTTATAGACACTCTCCAGGTGTGCTTTTCCCTCTCTGCTAAAGCGAGGTCGTGCACAGGTCTCTGCCTACCTCCTTTGTCTACATAGCTGAGAGAGGCATTTGGGAAAACGCAGATGGCATTTGGGAAAACATGCCATTCCATGTGCTGTAAAAATAACTGTCCTGCTCTGCAGTGGGGCCATGTGAAGGCTGAATATGTGCAGCACATACAATGCAAAATTTCCATCATGCACTGAATTACTTTCTTGAAGAGGCAGTTTTACCAAAATTGATGTAGCAAGCTCTAATTTAGTCTGTTGCTGCTCTATTATGGGTAAGCATCTGTCCTAAATTTACTCGAATGGCAGATGAAGCACTAAATATGCTTCATAATGGCTCTGGTTTGCGTATGGATGTTTTCAAATGCTTCAGCTTCCTGCTATGAACAGATGGTTACAGGCTGGCAAACTGCTTTCCTCTGCATGGTGTTTGCTGGAGAGAGCAGCCTGCCATGGGCTACTCTTGAATCTGGGAGCAGGAGCCAAACAATGCTGAGGATGTAGTGGATTCACAGGCCTTGTCCCTCCAACCTTTTGGACTGAGTCCTCAGACACTTTTCTTTCCCGTTCCTTGTCCTCCATAGGGAGGTTCCTTTTCTCCTTTGGTCCCTATTCTTATCCCTCAGTGCAGGCTGCAGTGTTCTTGGTAAAAGTGACATTTGATTTATTACAATAAAAGCTTCGTGTTTGCTCAGCAGCAGGTTCCCGAAAGTATTGAGAAGACCTGGGACATGTTTGCTCTAATACCATCCCTCATGTCTTTCCAGGGATCTGTTCTTCTCTACCCTAGCTGATGCTGTAACCAATTTTTGTTTTACCTGAGTGGGATTCTTTTTTGATCCTTTTAGGACCAGTGACAGCCACCACACTTATAGGAAGACTCCACTGCTTGGTAAAGTGCTGCTACCTTTTCCTGGCTGTGCATTGAAACAGCCTTTGCAAATGCAGGCAGTGCATTTGCCTCTGTCTGGCTCTTGATCTGTTAATCAGCCAGTGCCCTCTCTTTTGTGAAGCAGATTGTGAATGATTAGGAGGCTGCTCAGACAAAGCAAAGGAAGTTTATTAGCATAGCACTAATTTAGCACTTTGGCAGGCAAAAGGAAGCATGAGTACAAGGTGTGGGTGTCTTAGACTCGCCTGGCAGGATCCTGCAGGCTGGTGGCAGGACACTTTGCAAGTCTGTCTTCTGCTTCCTTCTGAAGTTTGGTTGTGGCACCTGGTTTCAGCAGGGAGCTGTAGCTAGGGCAAATACGTAGCCATTTCCTCACTGATGGGCTCCTGAGAGCTACTTTGACTTCCCCAGCTGACCCTGGAGGGACCTGGAGAGCTGCTCTGCAGCAGAGATCCTGGGGCTGCCCATTGCCTGGGCCTCCTCTGTGCTGTGGTCCCCGTGGCTGCTATGTAGGTTGGGCTGGAGCCATCTGGGAAGTGATGGCCAAGGTCTTGGCATGCCTGTCTGCTTGGACTGTAACTGTCTATGGCTGAATAAACCAGCAGATGCTGTCAGTGTGCATGAAACTTAGTGTGACCTGTGTTTTCTATATGATCTGGTAGTGGTAGAAAAAACTCTCTCGTACGGCTGTGACATCTGGCCGTGGTGAAGTGGTGTGATTTGTCAGGATGACTCTGAAACCTCTTGTATAGACTCGTGCTGTTTCGGAATGTGGGTTTTCTTCACACTTGAAAGCTCCCACGTGTTTAGAGGGATGAATATTTGCATCTTCAGCAGCTTGCTCAAATCTGAGCCCCAGATTGTAAGTGCTGATACCTGGGGGAGTATTCAGGCCCTGCATGGCTCATACCCTCTAGAGAAACATACACTTGCATAAACTTAAGCAAATGGGTCGGGACACTTGCTGGAACAAGGTGACCTTCCTGATTTGTCCCTTCCTGTGGGTTCTCTGAAGGGCAGGGATAACCAGATAAGCTTAATACTGGGTAACAGCTCGGCAGACCTTGTGTTCTCTGGTGCTTAGGGAGGTCTGGCTGGTTTAACATGAAGCCAACAAACTGTCCCCAGATGCTGCAGGGACCTGATTCACTGAGCCTGCTGCCTTAAAGAGGAAACGGAGTCTAGGTGGAAGGCTGTTGGTGCAGCTGCAGGAGGTGGCACTCTACGTTGGAGTGGGTGGATAAGCCTGCGTCCTGCCCTCGTGCAGGGGCTGGCAGTCGGAGGGTCACAGGAGTGCTAAGAGGTGAGGGAGGTGTCACGACCCTCCCAAATCAGGAGGAAACATTTCTGAGGCCTCTTGCAGCAGTTCTGCGTGCAAGGTCTTCTCACAGAGCCTTTGCTAGGGCTGCTCTAAAAATCAGCAAATGAATGCCCTCTGATAAGGTGTTGGTGGAAACAGAACAGGCTGAAGGAATGTAAAAGGGGAAGCTTATCTCTCATGTGGTCTTACAGGCTTTGAACTTTGCCTAAGGCTTTCTGGTATCACAGTTTTGTGGACCCGGAATGTGATTCCAGCATGTAGATTTAAGGTGCAAACTACCAAATCGATAGTCTGCTTTGCTGCAGGGGGCAAAAGCTTGTTTTGGGAGAGTAACTTTTCCTGCAGGAGAAACTAAAGGAGATCTGCAGGAGGCTTTGAACACATAGTAGAAGACTTTGTTGCAATCATGCTCAAACTCTGGTGTGCTTGCCCTGACATCCTGATTTCGTAGTGTCTTAAAAATGTCTTCACAGTGAAATGAAGCAGTGTGCATTCCAAGTGCTGTGTAGCTGCGTTGAGCTGACGGGGCTGAAGGAACTGTCCTTTTCCATCTGAATGGCCCAGTATGTTGGTTACCAGGAGAAACAGAGCTCAGGGTCTCTCCAGCTCTCACAGTGATCTGATCTAATCTTTTCTCCCTGTTCACACTGGAGCTAAGGCAGCATCTTCGTGAGATGCTGAAGGGAATGGAGAACATGCCCCCTTTGGAGGGATGTCTTCGCACTGATTTTTCTGCCTTGTTTTCTCAGGTGGGATGCAAGATTACAACTACGTGTGGGCCGACTGCTTCGAGATCACCTTGGAGCTGTCCTGCTGCAAATATCCACCAACCTCCGAGCTTGAGCAGGAGTGGGAGAACAACCGGGACTCTCTCCTTGCCTTCATTGAGAAGGTAGTGTGGGCTGGAGTGTGTAGGTGGGCAGGAGCTGTGAAACATGCGTGTCCACGGCGGGTTCAGAGCACTGTATTCAGCTGCTCCTGTGGCTGTACGTCTCTGGTTCTGCCACAGTTGCTACATTCTCCAGAATAGCAGAGCTCAGCTCTTATGAGAGGGTCATTTTAGGGTGCAGTGTTGCCCAGAGGCCCCGAGAAGTACAGATCTCACTGAGGAATTCAGAGTACCTGTATGGCCTCGGTGCAGATGCTCTCCAGCAGTGTGCGAAAGCACCAAGCACCACTGCTGAAATCTTGGCTTGCAGATTGCTGCTGCCATGTGCGTGCTGAGTGGGTGGCAGTTTAGGCTGGGAACAGAAGCAGCTCTCCCTGCATTTTCTCCCTGCTGTGGCATGTAACTCCTGGTTGGTTGTACTTGTATGTGACCAGCACAGCTTCTCTGTGCTCTGCTCTCCCGCACCCAGCAGCACAGGTGAGCCACCTTGGGAGTGTGCTTGCAGTTTGGCCAAGTGCTGCCTGAATCACGGGCTGCCTTTCCCTGGCAGCCGCCCCGCTCTGCTGCGTTTTGGCATGCGGCTGGGGAAGGACACAGTTCCCCTGAAGTTGCATCAGCCAGGCCCTTGTGCTGTTTTCCTCAGGTCCACATTGGTGTGAAAGGCTTCGTCAGGGATGTAGTCACCGGCTCTGGCTTGGAGAACGCAACTATCGTTGTTGCAGGCATCGCTCATAACATCACGGCGGGCAGATACGGCGACTACCACCGACTGCTCGTGCCTGGGACCTACAATGTGACCGCAGTTGTGATGGGGTAATGTCTCACATAGCCTGGGTCCTTGCTGCTCGCTCTTTGTTATTTTACTTGATTTCTTCCCCAAAGGTATTTAAGGGGTTTGGCTGGAAGCTGCAGCAGTAAATGACTGCATTAGGAACTCAGAGCTGTAGCCATGTGGGCTCACACCCCGTGCTGCTGTGGCATGGGGGTGCTGGATGAACAGTGTTGCTGTTGCTTTAATTTGTTTCCTTGTACCAACCTGCAGCTCCCTTTCCTGGCAGAAGGGGAAAGGGAAGTAGTGTCCCCTTGTAAAACATGGAGGTGTCTCCTGTCCAGCTGTAAACGCCGTAACATGCTGCTAGGCCAGTCCTGTGCTGCTCCCATAAGCAGGAAGTTGTCCCACTGTAACAGCAAGGACAACAGTGCAGCTGGCTCCAGGGGAGTGGGATGGTCCTGACAGTTTGTTTGCTGGTGAATTTTCCATGTGGGCATCTGGGCTGGGAGGAGCCTGGAGTGGTGGAGAGGCCGCAGGGGGGTCCGGCCCTTTAGTCTGTGGAGTCTGCTGCTGAAACCAGCTCTTTTTGCACAGTTACACCCCAGTGACCATGGAGAACGTTGAGGTGAAGGAGGGAGAGGCAACAATAGTGGATTTCTCCTTGCAACCAACTGTGATGGCACCAGCTCCCAACCTCACGCAGTTCACAGCAACGCCTGTTCCCGTCTCTACCATCACCTCTGCTCCTGTGCAGGCAGAGTCACCCAGACCCACCTCTGTCCACCAGTCGATCCAGCCTGTGGACTTCCGTCACCATCACTTCCCAGACATGGAGATCTTCCTACGGCGCTATGCGAGCGAGTACCCCAACATAACCCACCTCTACTCTGTGGGCAAATCGGTGGAGCAGCGGGAGCTCTACGTGATGGAGATATCGGACAACCCTGGCGTCCATGAAGCAGGTAACCTGGGGATTCCTGCATGTGAGGTTCAAATGCAAGCAGAAGAACCTTTGCTTTGGGAGACTGAGTGGCAGAGCAGAAAGGCCTCTCTGAAGAGATACTGCCTGCTGCTTTTCTGCCAAAAGACTCGGCTGCAGTGGTGGTACTCGGGTGAATCTTAGAGTATTGCTAGAGACACCCAGCTCTGTGTTCGCATTCAGGGAAGAACCAAAGGACTTCCCCGTGGTGGTTTTCTGCCTTTTTTGGTGCTGTGGGAGTGGAAGGGTCCCTGCCTGCAGGGAGCAGACCAAGAGGTCTGCTGGTATCATTCCCTACTGCTAACAGATCAGACTTCGCTGGTCACTAGGATGTCCTGTTCAGAGTCCCTGGAGCTGCACCTGCCAAGATGCCTCAGATTGACCCACTTTGTAGAGTTCGGTTCTCACCTCTGCCCAAATTATTGTCCTTCCCTTTCTTGAGGGAAGAAGAGTAGCTCATCTGTTATGTGGCAGAGCTGCCCCAAAGCTTCCAGAGGTGTATTCTGTCTCCATGTAGCTCTGGAGAAAGGCCTGAGAGCTACAGACTCAGGGTAGTGAGATGTCTCCAAGCTTTAACGCAGTGGTTATAACTGGCTCCTTGGTGTGGCCCTGTGTCTGCAGGTGAGCCCGAGTTCAAGTACATTGGTAACATGCATGGGAATGAAGTTGTGGGGCGAGAGCTGCTCCTGAACCTCATTGAGTACCTCTGCAAGAACTTTGGCACCGATCCTGAAGTGACCGGGTTGGTCCAGAGCACACGCATCCACATCATGCCGTCCATGAATCCTGATGGCTATGAGAAATCCCAGGAAGGTATGCTGTCTATCCTGAAACACCTGTGGGGTTTCTAGCACTGAGAGCAGTGCTATGAGAGCTCTGTTTTTGAGGCAAGCGCAATTCCTGCTCAAGCAGGAGCGCTGTCTGCGCAAGGATGCTTGGAAGGGACTGGTTGGGCACTCTGGGATAAGTAGGTGGATCCTGCGCTCTGGAAAGTGGAAGGTTGAGTGATGCCCAAGGCAGCTGCAGAGAGCTTTTGGGCTTCAGCAATTCTGTCTGCTGCCCCTCTTTGGGTCCCCTCATGGTCTGTGGCTTTCCCAAGCTTATTGAAAAAAAATGGCATTCCTCTGACATAGCTCATACTTGCTCTGCTTTAGTCTGCGTTCTTCATAACACGTGGTGTGGGAGCCAGGCTGTCTGCAGGGTGCTTGTCCAAGGATAATACTGACTTTTATTGTGGTGTTGACATTGGCAAAAAAAAAAAAAAATCCTTCAAGGAAGTCCTTAAAACTGCGTGGCTATCGCAGATTGGCAGAGCGAAGCTGCTTGGGTTTAACAAAGAACTTGTCCAGCTGGTTTGAAAAGGTGAACTCTGAGGTTTCTGTGGTCGTGACACTTGGCTGCTCGGGTTGTTCCACAGTTCATTGCCTTTCTGCCAGCAGCACCTTGGCCGACCCCACCAGCCTGTCTGAGCACCTGCTCAAGGGGCTCCCAGAGAGCTCTAGCCCAGAGCCAACCTTGCCAAAGGATGGGGGCTTGTCCCTGGGCATACAAAGCCAATCCCATTATGCTCTCTGCAGTTTTCCTTTGCCAAAGGTCCCTGGGTTTTGTGCAGTAAGAGGTCACAATCTCCACACTAAAGTGTGAACTTGCACAGGGCACTAGCCTTAACATGTGCTTAACTTTCAGGAGACAGAGGAGGCACCGTTGGCAGGAACAACAGCAACAACTACGATTTGAACCGGAACTTCCCAGATCAGTTCGTACAGGTGACAGATCCTCCACAGCCAGAAACTCTTGCTGTCATGAGCTGGTTAAGGACTTACCCGTTTGTCCTCTCGGCAAACCTGCATGGAGGTATGGCAGTCAAAGCAGGCTCCTTCCTTTGGGCTGAGATTTGAGGGATGGGGCTTGCAGGGATATTTCCACTTTGTTTCTGGGAGTGAACAGAGAGCTCTGTGTACTTGCCACTGCTGTGAAATGACAGGAGCAAATCCAGCCAGGGTCTTGCCCCAGGCTGAGACCATTTCTGAAAGGCCTATACACACAAAAGAGTGAAATATATGTATTATCAGTAGGTTGGGGTTTATGCTGCTGGAAGAAAGATCAGAAGGATGAAAACAATGTCCCTAAACACATTTCATATAGTGTTGAACAGGCTGCTGGAATAATCTTGGCCATTTCTCTGAAGGGGCCACGTGCCCTGGGGGTACCTAGGGCCTTGTCAGCTGAGACATGGGGCAGTGGAGCTGTTCAGTAGCTGGTTCTGTTTATGTGACAGTGCTGTGGCTGTTGGAGGCTCCTAATATTATAAAGTGAAGGGAATGAGATGTAATCCTGAGGGTTTCCTGCCATGAATTGCCTGGTGGAACTACGAAATTTGCTGTAATTTAATTACCTTTTTAGCATGATCTAAATTAAGTTTCTGTATTGCATCTTATTCCCTAGGTGGTTTGTCTGCTGGCTTGTAGCTGTAGTAACTTGCAGGTGGTTGCTTTGTACCAGCACATAAAATTTTGTAGCACAGAAATACCTTGTGTGGGTAAGAGGGGCTGGCAGCTCTCCAGCAGCAGAGCTCCTACTAGTAGAGCTTGCTGAGGGAACACCTGAATAAGCTAAATTATATAACCTGTTATAACCTACCAGGGCTTATAATAAACTCCAGAAGGCTAAATGGATGCAGCAGTTGGGCCAAGAGCTCCTTGGGTGTTCTGGGAAATTCCTTCCTTTTTTCCTCCAAGAAAGTAATAGTCATGAGCTTGTCCTCATCTCTCCTGCATGTAAAAGCCCAACCTTTCATGTGTTGTGACTTGGGTTTACTTTCCCAAATGGGTGCGGTCTTATCTCTTCCTATACTTCCATTGTCTCTTCTGTCTTTTGGATTCAGTGCTGTATCTAATGCCAAGTGTTAAGGAACACAAGATCTGGTTCCTAGCACTCTTTTGCGGGGGTGAAGGAAGAAAAACTTCCCCTCTTAGGCTGAGGGAACACTAGAGAAGTGTGTGGGTACGAGTCAAATCTTGTTCCCCCTGCAGGTTCTCTGGTGGTTAACTACCCCTTTGATGATGATGAACAAGGAATAGCCATATACAGTAAATCCCCAGATGATGCTGTGTTTCAGCAGCTGGCACTGTCCTACTCCAAGGTAACTCTAATGCAAAAACAAGTTCATCCTGCTGGCTAAACTCCTAATTCTGTCAGAACCTGTCTGAGCTGCTAGTAGTAGAGGTGCAGGTGCTGCTCCCATGTGGGTCCCCAGTGTTGGAGGCTTCTTGGGTTACAGCAGAGAAGTCGTCTTGTCCCATGAGCAGATGCTGGCGTGCTGTGTTTGCAGGCACTGCAGGAGGAGCACTCTATGCTGCCCTAGCAGGGAGTTACTACCCTTGAAGAGCAGCAGAAAAGGCTGTGCACAGGCCAGGAGTAAAGCAAACATGTCAGTGCCTTGTGTTTGGGTGTGGGTGCGTCTGCTTGTGCTGCAGCTGCACAAATATGATTTTCTGTGTTTGATAACCCCAGTATGTGACTAGAGTTAGAGCAAAAGTGCTGGTTGTGGTGGAGTGCAGACACTCAGCTTCACGTGTTGCATCTTCATTTTCAGGAAAATACACAGATGTATCAAGGAAGCCCTTGCAAGGACATGTACCCCACTGAGTACTTCCCACACGGCATCACTAACGGCGCGCAGTGGTACAACGTTCCAGGTAAAGGGCATGTGCAGTGTTTACAGCTACAGCTTTCAAAGTGATGGGCCTCAAATGTCAGGTTGTTAACCTCCAAGCTAAACCCGTGCAGTTTAAAGCCCAGATTATGGGAACTTGGGTTTTTTCTTTTATAAGCTCTTAAATAACATACCCAGATTAAGTTCTTTTATAACCTCTTAAATAACATACCCAGATTAAGTTATTCCTGAGGGAAAGGATTTATATTCTAGTTTATGGTTACCAGCAAAGTGGTTTCATAAAACTTTTCAGCAATATATTAGCATGAGAGGCATTTACAAGAAGGATGGTTATTTGTCTGCTATTTGGGCATCCCTTTGAAGCCTGAAGCTGGCCTTATGTAAAAGCCTTCTCTCTATGGCTATAAAATGCATGCTGTCGTCAGTATTTCTTCTATCTCTACTATCTGATTTTTTTGAGCTATGTACTATTGCCTTCAGGAGACCTTATCGAATTTTTTTCTACATTCCTGTTGTAGGTGGGATGCAAGACTGGAATTACTTAAACACAAACTGCTTTGAAGTGACCATTGAGTTGGGCTGTGTGAAATATCCAAAAGCAGAGGAGTTGCCAAAATACTGGGAGCAGAACCGCAGGTCTCTTCTCCAGTTCATGAAACAGGTGAGATGTGTGACCCCGAGCAGTTGTGTTGGCTGCCCCTTGGGATCAGCACTGATGGGCCAGAATGAACAAGCTGATCTGCAGGCTGAAGTGAGTGCTGGAGATTCCTGGCCAGAGTGAGTACTTGCAGAACAGAAATCAGAATGTGTCTTGACTTACCCCATCCCATCCTTCTCAGCATACCAAAAACGCATATGGAAACAGCAGCCAGGAGGTACAGGAATTGGCTTTTTATTTGCAGGTCTTGTGGCCTTCCCAAGATTGGAACGGCCTTTATGTGCAGTTCCCTGGGGCTCTGAGATGGGCCTGGCAGTAGTGCTGTGCACCTGGGCCATGCAAACAAAGGTGTGGAGCAGAGTGCTGTGGTGGCCCTGCGAGGCAAACAATTGCTCATTGTGCTCATCAAGTGACCTCTGGCCATGCCACCTGCCAGCAGGTTTCACCTGAACTCTTTGGGAACACGCTGCTCCGCCGGGATCGCCGGGCCTTGCAGGCTGGGAGCTGGCAGTGTCTCAGTGCCAGCGCCCTCGCTCAGTGGTGCCCATGGTGGGACCGTCCCAGGCTGGCACTGAGCAGCTCTGGGGGTCTGTGCTCAGGTTCACCGCGGCATCCACGGATTCGTGCTGGACGCCACGGACGGACGGGGCGTTCTCAACGCCACCATCAGCGTCGCTGACATCAACCACCCGGTCACCACCTATAAGGACGGAGACTATTGGCGCCTCTTGGTCCAGGGGACGTACACAGTCACAGCATCTGCTCGAGGGTGAGATAGCCGTGGCACAAGGAATGAGCTGTTGCAATGCTGAACTTTCCCTGTTAGGAAGAGGCCCGTTCCTTCTGTTGACAGCAAATACAGGCACAGAGGTTTCCCCTGCCCTCTGGACTATGCAGAGGTAGCAGAGGGATGCTACCCTCATAGCAAAGGCTGCTTGTCTGGCACACTGCAGAATACAAACCTTGCTATATCTGGAGGGGGTCTTTCCATGGGGAAGGAGTTATTAATTAGTATCCTCGGTGGAAGTGCTCTTGCAGGCAGTCACTGCTAAACTGGCAGGACCTTGTTGCCTTTTGAAGCCAAATGATTCAGCTGTCTGATTTGTTCCCCTCTCTGCCATGTAACTCCACAAAGCCAGAGCCAAAAGCAGCCCAGCATCATTTTGAGCTCTGATCTGCCTCCTGTCCTCCTGGTAGCCCCATGTCCCTTTGGAATGTCCTTGTTTACTCTCATGCTTCTTGCTCTTTTGGGTGGGGAGCAGCAACAGTTCTGTATGGGTGTTTAGTTGGGAAGAGGGATGGCTTGGTGTGAAGGGCCTGGAACCTGTGACATTTCCTTCTGCCCTCTCTTCCCTGGGCAGGTATGATCCAGTAACTAAGGTGGTGGAGGTTGGCAGCAAAGGTGGGGTACAGGTCAACTTCACCCTTCCACGGACAGACTCCAAAGCAGAGGAGGGGAAAGTGCCAGTTCTGAACACTCCAGACACCAGCGACCCCAATGAGAAGGAGTTTGAGACACTCATCAAAGATCTCTCTGCTGAGAACGGCCTGGAGCGCCTGCTGCTAACCCCGTCGGGGGACGTGTCTCCTTATCGATACCGCCCTTACAAGGACCTCTCCGAGTTCCTCCGCGGCCTCAATCTGAACTACCCCCACATCACAAATCTCACCAGGTGGGAACTCGGAACAGCAGCTCTTGGCTCCCACCTGAGCAGCAGCCTGTAGCAGGGCAGCAGGGGAATGAGCCGAGCCCCCTCCACATGGCATGGAGATGGGCAGCTTGTCCCCTTCCTTACCTGTGATGCCCAAGTAGCCCCAGTGTAAGGATTTGACTGCATAGACTTAGGGAACCATCCACATTGTTTTCCCTGAGTCATCATACACTGCCCTAAGTCTGGGCACCATCAGCTCTCCAGAGGCACTGGGAGCTGGTGGCATTCCCAATGTTGATGTCTGAGTTCCGTCAAGCATCTCAGTACATGCTCTCTGTCTCCATTTACTCTTTGCCAAGTCCTTTCTGATACCTACCCTGCTAACCAGTCTCCAGTAAAAACAGTTAAGTTTGGATTATCTCAAATGACCTTCTGTTTTATCTGCCTTCAAGTTTTAAATTCACAGTGTTTGAGTTAAGTTTTCTTGGGTCAGGTTCCCTGGCCTCCCGCAGGAGACCAGCGGTCTTTAGTCCTCTGCTCTCCTTGGTGACCTGCAGCACTTGGTTTCAGAAGGCACAAATGTGGCCTCTGTGTCCTTGTTTGCTTGTAGTTACCAGGCACAATGTGCTCGTGTGCAGTCCCTGCTGGTGCCAAGGCTCCCGTTCTGAACTGTAGCCTCTATTGTCTCTGCAGTTGCATTAGCCCTGATTCTGTTCCTGCTTTCCTTGCATTCAGTTTGCTGACATAATGGCACAGCTCTGCTCTTGTCCTCTAAACTGGGTGCTTTTATGAAATTGTTTGATATTTGCATATACCGCACCCTGAAATAAGAAAAAAATGGTAGCGCAGAGCCCTTTGGCCCCCACGTAGGTAACATGACTGGCTATACACAGATGTGCAGCGCATCAGGTGCCCTCTGCATCTGGGCCTGGATATATTCTCATACAGATGCTTCTGTGCAAACTGACATTCACAGTGAATGTGTTTTGGTGCTACTGCTAATCTTCATTTAAGATGCAGCTGACTGTTGGGTGTCACTTGCCTCTGCTGTCTGCTCAGAGGTGAGGAGCAGTTCTTCACTGTACTAGGATTTCTCCCTAGGGGACAGACCAGGGCTCAGCTCTGTTCCTGAGCTCCAGTTTCTGCTCTCTTGGCAGTTTGGGTCAGAGTGTGGAGTTCCGACAGCTGTGGTCCCTCGAAATCTCCAACAAGCCCAACCAGTCTGAGCCTGAGGAGCCAAAGATCCGCTTTGTTGCTGGAATCCATGGAAATGCTCCTGTTGGTACAGAGCTGCTCCTGGCATTGGCAGAATTTCTCTGCATGAACTACAAGAAGAACGCTGCGGTTACAAAGGTGAGGAGCCAAGGCAGGGAGCCATACGGGAGCCCCGCAGTTATATCCTGAGGATACTTTCTGGGAGAGATCTGCCTTGTTAACACTGGATTGTGGGTTGCAGCAATTCCATGAGTAACAGGAAGGTGCTGTGAAATCCATGGGGGCCGTTGGGAACCCCCTCAAAACCTCTCTGTCCTGGGTACCGGAAAGGAGTCCTTGGGGGATGCATTTGGTGGCTAGTGTCCCTCTGTTCCTCCCTTGCTGACTGAGGAACACTGTTCTTTCTGAAAACAACACTTGACTGGTGAAATCAGTGTACGCAATGGTTGTTAGGAATGAGATCTAGGCAAATGAGATCCTAATTGTACTTTATTTACTTCTGCATAGCTAATTGACCGCACCCGGATTGTGATTGTACCTTCCCTGAATCCAGATGGACGTGAGATCGCACAGGAGAGGGACTGCACGTCAAAGATAGGCCAGACCAACGCTCACGGCAGAGATCTGGACACAGACTTCACAAGTAAAGTGAACTGATGTGTAGTGTCCCTACAGAAATGTCAGTTGCTGCAGATGTCTTCTGCTTCCTGCTGTGGGCTTAGGCATAGTCACACTCATTTGGTTGCAGGATTTAGCTGTAAGGAGAGCTGGTAACTTGCTAGTCCTTATTTGCAAAGGAGAAGAGGAAGGAGACTTCTTTAGGGATAGTCCTGCAATCAGACAACGTTTAATGTGTTTTCTGTTAATTGATTTCTCCCAACACCCAATTGCTCTATTCATGCTGCCTGGAAACGGTCTCTCTTTCCATGCCTTCTAGTTCCTGCATAAGTGCCTTGTGTATCCAGAGCTCTGTATCAGAGTACTGTGTCTACCCCTCCTGGGCTGGAGGCTCATTTGGGATAATCCCCAGTGCTTCCTTTGGAAAGTGTGTGTTTTTCCTTCTCAGTGTCACTAAACTCACATGAGGCACACTTTGCATTGTCACAGTCACCCCTCCTGGGCTGGAGGTTCATTTGGGATAATCCCCAGTGCTTTCTTTGGAAAATGTGTGTTTGTCCTCCTCAGTGTCACTAAACTCGCATGAGGCACACTTTGCATTGTCACAGTAAATAGCTTAGTAAATAGATGTTGCCACTAGGTAATGTGGACTAGGTATTTTACTTGCTAAGTGCAGTTTGCTGAGATATAACAAAAACCTTCTAATACAGTAGACTTAATTTCAGGTATTAACTTTTGCTGTCTTCTCAAATAGCTGAAGAAGCTCTTTACAACTCCCTCTTCTATATCTTGTTCTTGTTTACAGGCAATTATTCCCGATACTCAGGGACACGAGAGCCTGAGACAAAAGCCATCATAGAGAATTTGATACTGAAGCAGGATTTCAGCCTGTCTGTTGCACTGGATGGTGGCTCTCTGCTTGTTGCTTACCCGTCTGATGAGCCAGCGCAGACAGGTATGATGAGCTCTGTCAAGGTCTTGCATGCACAGCATGCTCTGTAACCTCCTTTCCTTTTCAGCCCTTTGTATTGAGGCAACGGATGCCAGTCTGTTCTGGGAGGGATTTCAGGTTTTCCAGATTACTGAAGGGATATATCAAAAGCAAAGTGTGTACTGGCTTTGGCAGGGGGAAAGCAGAAATGCTGTAGAAATGGAAATGGAAAACATTGTTTCCTAGCTGTATCCTGTGAGCTTTCTCAGTGTAACTAAACAATGTTCAACTGTTCAATATGGGATCGTGGGGGATGAGGATCTGTTTTATTGGTGAGTGACAGCTATGTGCTCAGTGTCACACCCTTCTCTTTATAGTGGAGAACAAAGAAACACTGAAACATTTGGCATCCGTGTATGCAAACAACCACCCATTGATGCATTTAGGCCAGCCAGGCTGCCCAAATAAGTCAGGTATGTTTAGTACAAGCCTCTAACTGCTGGCTGCTTGTGGTGGACTCTGCTAGGAGCAGATCTGTCTGATAACTGCGTTCTTGCCTTCACAGATGAAAATATTCCTGGAGGCGCTGAATGGCACAGTCACCAGGGCAGTATGAAGGTACTTCATGACAACACAAGGCTTTCCAACTCAGCAGGCTTGGCTTTAAATGAGCATTAAGATAATATTTTTCTGTTATCTGAGCAAAACTCTGCCCCTTCTCCAGTTGCATCTTTGCAAAGTTTAGTAGGTGCTTCCTCTTTTGTCGTAAGTATGGCTTTGTTTTTTGCAGGATTTCAGCGTTACGTTTGGTCACTGTCCCGAGATCACAGTTTACACCAGCTGCTGTTATTTCCCAAGTGCAGGACAGCTCCCCAGCCTGTGGGCAGAGCACAGGAAGTCTCTGCTCAGCATGCTCGTGGAGGTGAGGCACAGTCTGCACCGAGAAATTCTGGCCAGGAGTAAAGGTGGTGGGATAGAGGGGAGGAGGGAGGTGGGTACTCTTCCTACAGGAGGCCTGCAGTGGAGGATGGGTTGTATTTCGGGGCGTAGGGATTAGATCCTGTTTTACTTACAAAAATGTCATACTGCTCCATTTGAACTGCTTGCTTTCAGGTTCATAAAGGAGTCCATGGATTTGTGCAGGACAAGAGTGGCAAGCCAATTGCTAAAGCCACTGTTGTTTTTAATGAGGGCTTGAAGGTCTCTACTAAAGAGGGAGGCTATTTCCATGTGCTCCTGGCTCCTGGTTTGCATAACATCGATGCTGTAGCTGATGGGTACCAGCAGAAGCATGTCACGGTATGTGAATGTCTCTGTCAGATTTTCTTTCCCCTGTTATGCAGACGTATCCTTAGATGCTCACACTTCAGCTCGCCTTTCTTGGCCGAGTTTGTGCTGGCTGCGTGCCCAGAGTATCTGTCTTCTGCCCTGATATAATGGACAGAAAAGAATTTCCCAGCACAGGATGGTTGTTCTGAGCAATAACTCTTCTCTGCATTGTACTCGTTTTTGGCATTTGTCTGGTCCTGTTCTGGTTAACAAATGCCTCTTTTCTCTGGACACCTAACAGAGCTGTAAGCCTCGAGATAGTCTGAGCTCTCGTGTGTGTCTTAGCAGGTTTGGGTACGCCACGATGCACCTAGCTCCGTATTCATCGTGTTTGACATGGATAACAAGATATTTGGCCTGCGAAGGGAGCTGGTTGTAACCGTTGCAGGTAGTGTGAGACTTCCTTCATCAAAACTTTGAGCCTTGCCTCCTCAACCCATTCATCCTAACAGTGATCCTTGCCTGGTCTCAGACATGGAGAAGTAGCCCAGCATATCCTGCTTTTGCTTCTGGCCTTGTGTTTGTTCTTGCAAACAGGTCCAACAGTCCTTGGATCTGGTGCTGCTGGGGTGGCAGGTGGGGAGGAAGAAGGGAGGAAACAGAGACCGCTGCAGTGATCTAAATGAACCAGAATGGACTTTGAGGTAGTCAGAATGGGGAGAGCCTGTTTGTGTGGACCTGGGAGTTACAGATCTTGCACCTTGACCAAGGGTTTCTGAGTGGTGTGGTATTGGTTGAGCATAAAGAGATTTTCTGTCAAGGTGGCAGTTGCTGAGGTGACCAGAGTTGAAACCGAGTTGTCTGCAGAGGCACTCAGTGATGCTGCGCTGGGATGTGATCCCAGAAGGTAGAGAGAGTGCAGTCCTGCTCTGAAAGCACCTCTCACATGGTGTGTGTCCTGTCCTCTAAGAGGAAGGAGCAGGGTTACAATGAAGCAAGGAGAAGTGGCTGCAGCTGTGGAAGGGGAGAAATAGAGTGGGAAATACGGGAGCTTCCATAGTGGAGGAACACAGCATTAATTTCAATGTCTTCTCCATGGCAGGTGCCAGTATGTCTGCTCTGGTCCTCACCGCCTGCATCATCTGGTGTGTCTGCTCAATTAAGTCCAACAGGCACAAGGACGGCTTCCACCGCCTCCGCCAGCACCACGACGACTACGAGGATGAGATCCGCATGATGTCCACGGGCTCCAAGAAATCCCTCCTGAGCCACGAATTCCAGGATGAAACAGACACTGAAGAAGAAACATTGTACTCCAGCAAGCACTGACACCTCCGAGAGAGAAAAGGAGGTTCCCCATGGACCAGTCCGGGTGGGAGGGAGGATTCCTGTGGTTCAATTTTGGAACGTTAGCTTACAGGACGTGTCCTCCGGAGGTGTGGGTGGTAGCTCCTGACTCCCCTCTGTTCTTTGCTGTGTTCCTACTTCAGTGCAAGTCAGGCAGTGTTGGAGGCTGTGTCCAGGCTAAGGGCACAGCTTGTTACATTTTTAGGTCAAGATCTGGCGATAACGTGTAACACTCTTTGAAAGGTAACGTAATGGGATGGCCGGCAGAGTTCCTAGCACTTCCCCACCATCTGATCGCTGCCTTGAGATGCTGGGGAAGTGTCCCCAGACCTGCGTAGAGTCACAGTTGCAAAACTCCAAAGCGGTTTCTCTACCTGTTTCAAATTCTCTTTTTTCACTCTACCTGATGAAGCCTCATCCTCTATGGACTCCACATTCTGCAGAACAGCCCTAGGAAACTGACTCCACTTGGTTCTCAGCTGCTCCCTCACAGCTTTTTTCCACTTTGAAATGCAGTGTAGCCTAGGTGCTCTGCGGTGGGTGCTGAGCACCTCTCATGTGTTGTTAGTTCTCCTGCAGTGACCTGGCACCCAAAAGCTGGGGGAAATCACATGTATTGATGTGAGCTGGAGAAAGAAGCCTAGGTCAGAGCTGCAGTGAATTCTGACAAAGCCCTGCAGCACTGCAGTTTCTTACTTCTGGGGAAGAAAGAAATGCTCTCCCCATCCCTTCTGGTGGTTCTCATTTGTGTAGACCTGGCCTGGGTGGCCTTGTGTTAGTGTTAGAGCAGCACAGTGTCTGAAAGAGCCACTGGAGGTTGTTCCAAGCAGAGGAATAGAGCTGATTATGGTGAATTCTGTAGAAAGAACTAGTTACTGACTCCACCTGGTGAGTTTGCTCAAGTCTGCCACAGATCATGCAGAAACTCACTGAAATCCAGCTGCTGCTTACTAAATTTTATTGGAGTAGTAGAGAGAGGTTGTAGAGCCTCCCCAGCCCACCATCAGCTGTAAATTTTGAGGAAAAGCTGCATCTCGTCCCTGCCAGGCTAATACTGTTTAGTGGTCAGGGCACATTGAAACTCGGCCGTGTTCCAGCCCAGCTGGTGGTGGCTCTGCCCAGCTGCCACCATCCTGTACTGACACATGTGGCAAGAGCTCCACCTGCTTGTGCTGCTGCATCTCTGCTGCCTGGGGCCTGAGAGCACAGGGTGTGGAGCACAGGGCAGGAATTTGGAAAGAGCTGCAGCACCCATCCCCACCATCCATTAGCACCCAGACCTCCTTCAACAGTTGATCCCCAAGCCTTTATCACTGGAGCTGCTGGGCTTTTGGGGCAGAAGGCCAGCATGGGAGCCCAGCTGTTTTTGTTTTGTTTTTCTGCTGCTCCTTCTGTCTTCTAATACCTGCCCCCCTGCCCCAGGCTCCTGGGGGCAAGAGGCGGGTGCCTCATCCTTGTTGGCACCCTGTTTGCAGCGAGTCCCTCGGGTCTGTGCCAGCCCTCAGTGCCTGTGGGAA